GAAATATGTCATTGATCTAAATATAAGAGCTAAAACACAAAAATTCTGGGAAAGTTAAAAGCCAGTCTTTGGAGTCTTGTGCTGACAAATATTTTTTAAATAGGACACAAAAGCACAAATCAATCGCACATCTTTGCAGAAAATTCTGCTGGACAGGAATTTCTTATATTAGGCATCAATAAAAAATACTCCCTGCACAAGTCCATCCTGCCACTTGTTTTTGTATAGTATGTGAGCTAAAAGTATTTACATTGAACAAATGCAAATAAGAAATAATATTTTTGAAACAAACATTTTATGGGAAATTTCCATTTGTTTCTATAAAAATTGGAACATATCAATCCTCATTCATTTACAGATTGTTTATGACTGCTTTCATGCTACAATAGCAGATGTCAAAAATTGCAACAGAAACCACATGGCCGGAAAAGTCTAAAATATTTACTATCTGGCCCATTACAGAAAGTTTGCCAACTCCTGTCTCAGACTATTATCTCCAGCTAGACAAATGGATCCAGCCTGTGACAGAAGAACACATATATCTGATTTGTAAAGAGGGTAGAATTGGCCACACACTGTTGCATTTTTCTGTACTGGGCTATTCCATAAAGAAGGGATTCAATGGGTAATTCCCTTGGGCTCTGGCTTCTCAGGGCTCAAAAGACACCAGACACAGCATGAGTTGCCCTGCATGGGGGTGAATGAAGAAGCTCATCAAATACAGCATTTCCCCTCCAGCAGGTCACCAAAGCTGATGCAGTGAACTGGGGAGACTGGCAACTCCTGCCTGATTCTTCAGTATATTTCTCATTTTATTAGTTATAGGAGAAGAAGTAAGTTTCATTACTATTACCCTCAGACCCTAATTTTGAGAAACAGAAATCTTCTCTTGTTACCTCCTGTGTTTGTGAAAACAGAGTGCATTGAAGTCTTTTTTCTTGTACTAAATCAGTGACCATTAGGGTAAGCTGCATAATCTCTCAGTCAATTATCAATTCTGTCTTCTTCAAAAGATGACATTAGTAATTGCAACCTTATCAATCTCATTGCTTTTTCCCCTAGAAAATACAAGTTTCAGTTATATTACTTTTTATTTCACTAATAATATGTATTCGTTTTAACTGGAAAAAGTAGGTTTGAGATGGCAACTGGAGTGTCTGGATAAATACAGAAACCATGTGATAGAACGCATTGTAAAACCACTGAGACAAAAATTGGTCTCAAGGTTCCAGAGGTAGGAGAAACTCAGAGAGCTAAGCTAACATTGACACTCAATTTTTGGCTGTCTTTGCATTACGTCCAATTCTGAATCATGACAACAGGTGTTATGTCATTATGACTGCCTATGGGAGAGGAATGAATATTTCTTTAAAGAATATAAACTTCCTTTGCAATTCTGCAATTTCTTATATATAACATCTGGTATTTAACCAAAATTTATCAGGCATTTCAAAGATACAACTAAGTTATCACAAGAAGAAAAGTGGGGAGAGGGAATGGCAATAAAAACAGACTTGTATTAGGAAACTTTTCCTGCCTAGTTTTATAAGACTGGTATAATCTTAATATCAAAAATATTGAAAATTCTGGGAAAGAAAATTATAAACTAAATCTCTTGTGAATGTAAACACTGAAGTACTAAACAATATGAAGAAGGTCAGTTCATCTTTATGTGCATACTTATTTTTATTTAGTGAGGAATGTAAGTCAAATATATATAATCTGATGTTGAATGGATATTTGTCCCCTTCAAATCTCATTGTGATTCTCAATGTTGTAGGTGGGGTCTGGTGGGAGGTATTTAGGACATGGGGATGAATTCTTCATAAGTGGCTTAAAGCACTTCCCATAATAATAAGTGAGTCCATATTCTGTTAGTTCACACACAAGCTGGTTGTTTAAAGTCACTTCTACCCCTTTTTCCCTTACACCCTCTCTTGCCATTTGACACGCTTGCTTCCCCTTCACCTTCTTCCATGATTGAAAGCTACCTGAAGTCCTCACTAGGAGGAGATGCCTGCTTCCATTATGCCTCTTGTACAGCCTGCAGAACCATGAGCCAAAATAAAACTCTTTTTAAATAAATTACCCAGCCAAAGATATTCCCTTATAGCAATGGAAATGGACTAACACACAATTGTATAAATAGATGCCCAGAATTGATTGATAAGATTTTATACACAATGGTGACATATATATATGACAGCAAACTTCTCTAATCTTATTAAAAAAAAACTACCAAAATCTACTTCAAGCATCATTCTCAATATTGAAATGGAAAACTTCCACTGCTTCCTGCAGATTAGAAATGAGAAACAAGGATCCCCACTGTCACCAATTCTATTCAACACTCTCCTAGAAATTCTAGCCAATGCAATAATGAATGCAATAAAAAGACATTAAGCCCATGAGAAATGGAAAATAAGAAATAAAACAATATTAATCCAGATACATATAATGTACACAGAAATTACAATGAATCCAGAAATAAATTATGAACAGTGATTCATAAAATTAGCAAAGTTGACAGATTAACATCATCAGAATGATAAAAACTAATTATGTTCCACAACAAGAATATTAATTCTCTAGGGAAAACCAAAGACTTGAAAGCCATGACAACAAAATCACAACATTCCTGGGAAAATAAAAGAAACCCCAAATAAATTGGAAGCATAATTATATTGAGGAATAGAAAGACTCAACGTGTCAAGATTCAGTTCTTTCCAAACTGACTTACAAATTTAATGTCACCCTGACAGAAATTCCAGCCCAATGATTTGGGAAATTGACAAACTAATACCTTTAAAATGTATTTGGAAATATAAGCACCTAAGAGTAGCCAACCCAATCTTGAAGAAAGAAAATAAATCTGGAAAACACACACTGCCAGACACAAGGACCTGTTACAAAACTCTGTAGCCCCAAACTGGAAACAACACAAAGTCCCATTAAACTGCCATACATATGAGTTATGCACTTCTCTCGCCGGGTGATGGTAGAGGATAAGAATGATACTATGAATTTGGGGACTTCAAAAACATGAAGTTGCAGTGTAGGAGAAACAAACTTACCTTGGGAATGAGATAGTTTCTGAATTTAACGTCACAGGTCACTGCATGGGGCAGGCTGGTGGGGAGGAGGTCAATGTATCTCTGGACCTCATGCACCACAGCATCTGTGTAAGGCATGTGGCTCCTGTCCTGCATGCAGGGGCTCCGGTTTCTGCCAATCACACGTTCAATCTCTTCCTGGACTTTAGCTGACAAGACACAAGTAAAAACTGATGGAAAAGGAGAAAAATGGCACATTTGTTGTAGCAATTCAAGGGTACATGAATCATGATGAAGGTATCCAAACCTCATTATAAATTTAAATTATAGTGATAGAAGTATATGCAACCTTAAAGAGAGGACTGTTACAGATGCACAAATGTGCAACTGCTATAAAGTAGGCATTAAGAAAAATCTGTACAAATGTAAGCAGAGAAAATTATCTTCAATAAAGGAAGGCAGGAAGAAATGAAAGAAGGAAGAGATGTCCACAAAACAACCAGAAAACAAATAGCAAAAGGGCAGGGGTAAGTCCTTACTTGTCAATAATAACACTGAATGTAAATGGACTAAAATCTCCAATCAAAAGACATACTGACTGGATGGAAAAACAAGACCTATTAACTTGTCACCTAAAAGAAACACACTTCACTTATAAAGACACACGTAGGCTGAAAATAAAGGAATAGAATGAGACAGTACCTGCCAATGGAAATGAACAAAGGAGCAGGAGTTACTATATTTAAAACAGACAAAGCAGATTTCAAAACAAAACCTATAAGAAGAGAAAAAGAAGATCACTATTGGTAATAAAGTGGTCACCTCGGCAAGAAGATGGAACAATCTTATATATATATGCAACCAACAATGGAGCACCCAGATATATAAAAGAACTATAATTAGAACTAGAGAGAGATAGACCACAATACAATAATAGCTAGAGACTTCAACACCCCACTTTCAGCATTGGACAGGGCATCCAGAGAGAAAATCAACAAGAAAACATTGAACTTCATCTGCCCTATAGACCAAATGGGTCTAATAGATATTTGCAGAATATTTTATCCAACTGCTACAGAATAC